TCATTCAATGGAGCACCATATTAAAACTCAATAAAATGGAGATCAAGTCTATGAATTCCCTAAGCATACAAAACCTTGATTGCTTGATTTGCAAACATAAAGTAAACATAACTTGGGCTATTTCTTATAAATGTCTCTATTTTTAATTTAAAAAGTGAAACTTAAGTTCAACCAACCAAAAGCTGCCAACTGAATTATCGTTCTATAAGCATGGATTTCCCAATGGGATAGACTAAATAAGGTGATGATATACTTGCAACCCAGCAGTTATTTTCTTTGCCTTGCTTCTGAGTTCATCCTATAGAAAGCCTTGCATTCCCCTGGTGGCAGAGTCCTGAACCACTTTTGTTTGGAGTTGCCTGATTCATGAATTGCTGTTTGCTCAAACTCTATGATATTTAATATGCCTTAGTTTATCTTTTAACACTACTCAGTAATAAAAAGGAACTAACCACTGATACATACTACCTGGCTAAAACAAATAAATTATGGTGAGTGAAATGAGCTAGATCAAAAGAGTACATACTGTATGATTCTATTCATGTGAAGTTCAGGAATACACAAAACTAATCTATAATGACACAAAAACCAGAATAGTGATTGACTCTGGTGTCGGGGATGGCGATTGACTGGGAAAGGATATGAAGGAGTTTTTTGAAGTGACAGAGAGAAGTTTGGGTTACAGTGGTCAAATATAGAACGCACCAGGTGTGGCAGCACACACTTGTAATCCCAGCAGCTTGGGAAGCTGAGGCAGGAGGATCCCAGGTTCAAAGCCACTATCAGCAACAGCGAGGCACTAAGCAACTCAGTGAGATCCTGTCTCAAAGTAAAATACAAAATAGGGCTGGGGATATGGCTCAGTGGTTGAGTGCCACTGAGTTCAGTCCTCCCCTACCCACCAAAACAACAACAACAACAACAACAAAAAAAAAAAAAACAAGTAGAATGCTACGCTTAAGATCTGTATTTCACTACACAAATTTTACCAAACAAATAAACAAATACTGAGGTATAGTTAATGATGTGCAAACTGAAGAATGAAACATGAAGTATTACTTTGAAATACAACAAAATGCAAGATGGGCAGCTGGCTAAATATGTGGGAGCAGAGATAGCAAGTATTAAAAATAGAATCTAGGTAGTGGATAGATGGGTGCTTACTGTACCATTCTTTCAACTTTTCTGTGTAATTAAAACAGTTCATAATAAAATGTTGGTGGAAAAATAGTACGTAGTTCAGGTTTTGCTAATTTACCTGTCAAGAGTAAAGACAGCTGGCAGCTTTGGGAATGCTAGGTAGCTCTAAGCCTTTGTCTTGCCATGAAACCAAGTCTTCTTCCCTTAGAAGAGGACCATGACCAGTGACTGAAAAGGGGTAGTTTCATTCAGAATCCCAATTTGGTTTTCCTCCAGTTTTTCCTGAGTTACAGCACTGTCAGGTCTAATAGACTAAATTCCATTCTGTTAGGGCTTGTCCTGAGTGTGTGTCCTGTGACTCATGGGGCACAGAATTAGAAAGCACCTCAAATTTACCTTCCAATAATTTAGTTTTTATGTACCTTGATTATTGACTATAAAATTATTCCAAGTATCACATACTGATGTGATTTTCTCTTTTTAGTTCCAGAAAGAAAGTGGTTTAAGAGAAATGTCAATGTATTGTCTGAGAACATTTTGGTACACATGAGGTCTCCTGAGGGACAGAAAAGGCAGGGACATATCATTAAAAATGATCACTAATGTAATTTTCCTTTCCACATAAATAGCCCAACTTCATGTAGATTGGTTATAGCCTTTATCTCCTTTGTGAGTACTAATATGTTTTCACTAGAATTTCTACTTCTATTCCAGGTACTCATTTAATTATGCATTTCTTCTTCTCCATAGCCAGAACATCCTTAATCACAGGGTTCAATCTTTCAGAGGTAATTATTTTTCTAAATCCTTTCAGCAGTTAGCCAACATTTCCCTCACAAAGTCATGTTAGCTAATTAGGTCATGTGCTTTGCAATTTTTTGTTTATTAACTATTAACAAATACATTTTGTTGAGACATCTATCACTGAGGTTGCTTACTATGTCTCTGACTTGCTGATACGAAATACTTCCATATGCATTTTTTATTATATATTTAAGAAGTCTTTAGTTTTTAATAGATCAGCAACATGTAAATCTAATCATTATTTTACTTTTATCTTCTCCCATCTCTACATGTTAACTTATTACCCTTTGCATGTTTTCCTTCTCTTAGATCTAGGGATAGAAAACATCATTTTTTTTTTCTTCCCTTAGGCAGGGTGCAAAAGTTCTAAATCAGTGCTTCATAAATTTGAGCAGGATTCTGAATCAGGGGTACTTGTTTGAAAGGCAGATTTTGGGTCCTGTCCTTGATGCAGGTGTTGTGGGGAAAATTTTGAGAAACAGTGCTTGTAAGGAAGTGGGTGTTAACAATTACAAGTTCATAGAAACAAAACGTTCTAATCTGAATGTTAGAATATATGTCTTATTATTTACATTTTTGCCACCATATAGTGCTACTCCATAAATCAACCAGGAAAAAGTGAGACTTGATTCTCTATGAAAGATGAACGAAGCAGGCACCATGCAGAAATCCTGACACCTAAAACTGTTCTCTGGGTTTCTGTGTGATCCATGGCTAATTTATTATGTTTTCCTTTCTACATTTTTTAAGCTGACCATGTAGATATACTGCCGTCAAAGTTTCCTTGAAATTTTAAGTGGGGTGTACAAGAAATAACAGAAGCCCAACTTTCATGAATTAACGCATTTTTATTAGGAAAAATTGTTTTTACTAAAGAAATACTTGAACATGGGTTAGTAAAACCAAAGGGTTCTGAAGTCTTAAAATGAAAACAGTCCCTTGGTTCTTTTTTTTTTTTTAAATATTTTTTAGTTGTAGATGGATACAGTCTTATTTACTTATTTTTATGTGGTGCTCAGGATTGAATCATGTGTGAAGATTGAATCATGTGTGAGCGCTCTACCACTGAGTCACAATGCAGCCCAGTTCTGTTTTTTTTTACCCTTAGTTGCTCTATCCAGGGGTGCTCTTCATTCTCTTGGCTTTCTGGTAAGTACCTTCATGGTTTTTTTTTGTTTTTTTTTTCCAAATTAAAAAAATTCTCCCAGTTTTGAAGCAAATGCATGTATTCATACATGTAAGTATTAAATCCTCTTGAAACTTATGAAAATCTCAGCAGTTCTCTGCCCTATTCCTCTCAGTTCTCCAGAGTACTAGAGTTTAATTTTCAGCCATTTGTTTTTTCTCAAATAATTATTTTTTAATTATATATAGTGGGAGAAGATAAAAGTAAATAATGATTAATTTACATGTTGCTGATCTATTAAAAACTAAAGACTTCTTAAATATATAATATTCATTTCCTATTATTTCACACATTATATACAATTACGTGATATGATAGATTATGACTTAGTTCTTCTCTTTTCCTCTAATATTGTTCCCAAATAGTGGTCAGATTTGAGGTGGGGTAGCTATCACATCATTACAACTATGTACTTACCACTCATTGTTGAGAACATTTTATGTTCATACTTCCTTTCTTGTACATTTTCCCCTTGAATTAATGATTGCCTAATCACCTCCCCCCATCAACCTGTTTACATTTGCTTTATCTTTAATGAACTTACTTCTTTCCAAATGTCCCAGATTTCAATAAGCTATTATTTTTACTGTGCTTTCTAAGCAAGCTACACAGTTGTAAAATTGCCTGTGTTGGATTATATTTATTGCTAATAAATATTTATTTGAAATTTATTTTATTGATGAACATAAAGGGCCCAGTTTGTTATAGTCTTCATGAAAATATGCAGTTGCCCACAATCCTAATCACAGTAGATGCACCTAAGCCAGAAAATAATACTTGTCAAACTCTCATTCTGTCAACTGTTTAAAGCGTACTTTCTTCTTAGACATATTAATATTAGAAAATTTATTATTACACAAAATTATTTCATTCACTAAACAACCTCTGACATTATTCTGATAGTACCTCATTCTTTTTAACTGTTGCAGAATTAAAAATTAATAAAATTTATAGACACATTAGTTATTAATTTCTTTATTGATTGACATTTGGGCTCTTTCCAAGTTTACAAGAGAATGCTACAACAAATATTCTGGAGTCCATCTCTTTGCTCAGGATTGAGTTCTAGATGTGGAAGATTTGGGTCCAAATCCAGAATCTTCTGAATTTGAATTGATATTGCTAACTTGCACTTTAAATGGTGGTATAAGCTTACAAGGCAGAAAATGCCATTTCTTTTGCCTACCTAGTTTTCTAAATCTTTGCTAACATGATAGCTCAGACAGGTTTTACAGTGCATTTTGTAAGGTTTAATTTCTAACTTACTAATTTTGGTATCTAGCAATATCCATTCTCAATTATCTCTTAGAATTTTTAATTGCTGCTATTATACTTGTTATTACATTTTCTTTTGCTAAGAGCAGCCCATCAATGTAGTATCTCCTGGAATCTCAATGAAGATCAAAAACAAATTTTAAAGGTCTCAGACTTTTCCTTTTGGTAATCTCCTACTTGCTTCTTTATTGTCCATATTTGAGTTCTTAATTTACTGATTCCCTGAGTGAACACAATGTTTATTTAGAAGTAGGATGTGAAAAAGAAAATTCATAGTTTTTACCTTGATCTAATTTTCTTTAAAAAAAAATGAGTTCTAGCATTTCTGTTTATAATCCATTTCTGCCCTTTGGACTAATCTATCTAGCTCCTATCTCTAAGGACCCTGGTGCCAACTCATGCTATAAGTTGACTGCAGCTGTCTTGCAGATAGGTAGGCAGGTGTTAGGTACTCAGTCTAGACTTTGGGGGAGAGCCAATGAAGGAAACTTATAGCAAGAAAGAGCAAGATATGCTTCCTAAATGGTATTTAATATGACCTAGTAAGACTGATGGAGAATAAAACATACTGCTTAGAAATCATTAACCATAGATCTAAAGTCCACACAAGTCTTTTTATTCTAATGTAAAAATACAGAATTTTTTAGAGGGAGGGATAACATGAAATAAATCAGAAAACATCTTCACATTAATCAGTCTTTTCATATACTTCAAATTTGTACTTAATGCCTTTCTCCTCCTGGACCTCAGAAAGAACACCTGGGTATCTGTAAAAGAAAAAGATGTATAATTAATCCCTCAAAAACATAGCTTCCCTGAATCTCAACCAAAAGGCATCAACAGTGCATAAAGCAAGGTAAGATTTTTCTTCTTGTAGGAAAGCCACTGTTAAGGTAGACGAATATCAGGCAAATACAATACATATGCAAATAATAAGAAAAAAACCCTACAAAACTATGTATATAAATTTAGAAAATGAAAGTTGTGATTTCTCCTCCTTTTCTTCTGATTCCTAATTCTTTCCTCAAAAACTAACCACCATAGCAGTTCCCTAGTATATTTCTATTCTGTCATCAAGGGAATATGAAAATTCCTAAGAATTCTTTGTAAGTTTTACAGCTGATAAAAAATTCCTTATGTAAGCAAAAGAAAATCAAATATAATCTATAGTTGTTTAAAGCAAAACCAAAATCATGTGTCTGGCATGGTGACAGATTCTCAATTCCTGTTTACTCAAGAGACGTGCATCATAAGGCTCTAATTCTGCAATGTATGGCACACTGCAATTTCTTGGCTAGAATCAGGATGAATTCAATCTTTCCTCTTCCCTCTCACTTGACTCTCTACTCCCTTTAGTTTCCCATTCAAAACCCAGGTTGTAACCCAATCAATAAATGGGCTAAGGAACTGAAGAGATACTTCACAGAAGAAGAACTACAACTGATCAAACATGAAAAGATGTTCCACATCTCTAGTGATTACAGAAGTGCAAATCAAAACTACTCTAAGATTCCTTCTCACTCCAGTCAGAATGGCAATCATCAAGAATACAAGCAACAGTAAGTGTTGGTGATGATGTGAGAAAAAGGCACACTCATACATTGCTGGTGGGACTGCAAATTGGTGCAACCACTATGGAAAGCAGTCTGAAGATTCCTCAGAAAACTTAGAATGGAACCACTATCTGACCCAGCTATCCCACTCCTTGGTTTATACCCAAAGGACTTAAAAACAGCTTATACTACAGTGACATAACCACATCAATGTTTACAGCAGCTCAACTCACAATAGCTAAACTATGGAACCAAACTAAATGCCCTTCAACAGATGAATGGATAAAGAAAATGTGGTACATACACATAATGGACTATTACTCAGCTTTAAAGAAGAATGCAATTATGGCATTAGGTAAATGGATGGAGCTAGATGGTATCATGCTAAGCGAAATAAACCAAAACCAAAATACCAAAGATGGAATGTCTTCTCTGATAAGCAGATGCTAATCCACAATGGGGCAGGGCGGGGGGTGGGGAGAATGAAGGAAATTTGGATTGTGCAGAGGGGAGGAGGTGTGGTATGGGAAGGATGGTGGAATGAGACGGACATTATTACCCTACATACATGTATGATTACACTACTGGTGTGATTCTACACCATGTTCAGCCAGAGGAAGGAGAGGTTGTGCTCCATTTGTGTACAATGTGTCAAAATGCATCCTACAGTCATGTATAACTAATTTGAACAAATAAAAAAAAAAGTCTCCTAAAAGCATCTCCCAGTCAATACTTAACAATCCTCACTCTAATTATTCTTTATCTGGAGGGTAACCCAACCCAACCCAACCCACACTTATAATTCACTTTTGTTAATGATAATAAATTCACTTTTGTTTGCCTGAGGGGAGGGAAAGCCTATTATCCCTCCCCCTCAACACACACACTTCTTTTTTCACAACTTAATAACTCGTCAAGTAAAAAAGTACTGGTAACAATGCAAAACAAAAACAAAAACAAAAAACCCCAGGTTGTCAGCTGAAGACTGCTCTGACCATTCTGCCTCCTATCAACATTTTTATGTCACTCTAGATCTTGGTGTGCTTTCTTAGTGTCTTGGAGGCTGCACCCATTTGCTCCATTGGGGGTCAGCAGCAGCTGTTTAACATTCACTCTGTGAGTGTCCCTGGATTTGCTGTGTGACCCTATCTCCAGGCTTGAATGGCATAAAAAGGCTTCACTATGGTAAAGAATTCTCATTATGGTAAAGAATTCAGCACTACGCCTGACCCAGTAAGTTTTCCACAAATGCTACCCATTACTACTGGTTTATTTTGTCCCCTAACTATTAGACAAGGGTGATACAGGAAAACTTTTTCTCTCATAATATACATGAACATTGCTTAGTAAAAATAAGCATTAATTTTTGTTAGCTATGTTTTTATTTAGCAACCATTTCCTTAGCTATTGCTGTCCCACTATTTTAGTAGTAGCCTCTTTTTTTTTTTGAACAAATGATTTTTACTAGGCCAATTTTAAACCATAATTTTAGTTTCTTTGAAATGAGTCATGAAGAGTAACATTTACATATTTTTTTTTTCATGTGTAAAATTCTCAGGAGTGTCAAGACTGTCAGTTAATAAGACAAAAACAAAGCAGTAAGAAGTTCTTTCTAAAATCATGAATAATAACACTTAAAATGACTGTGCTTTTGGCTGAATATGATCAGTAGCCATGGTATTAATGTAAATCTTCTCTGTGAAAATAAAATTTATTTCTGCTTGTTTCATTTTTCTTTCTCTAATATCTACACATTCAGTCTATTTTAACAACAGTTATAATTACATTTCCTAATCATCATTCCAAACTTTTTAAAGAGCAAACTGTCTGAGATCCACACTTGGATGCTGAGTTCAAGTCTGGCAGGATTTGGAAACACCACCTATTTGATAGGAACCTCCCACCCAGAGACTCCCCCTTTAGCACCTTCAGACACTGAGAAAGCCAATGAGTAAGAATCAATATCAGATCTAAACTGACAAAGCGCCACAAGAATAACCCAGAGACAATTTGATGGAAGGTTTAAGAGGTAAACAGAGTTCCTGAAACAGTTTCCCATAAAAAACAAATTGCAGCTAAAATAAAACCAGGAAGCATAGGCGTTGGAGGGAAGGGATATAAAAATATTGTGGATAAATATGCCAGGAACTTGGACAGTCAGGAAGTAGTGGGGTCAGAAGAGCAGACATCAGTTCACCTGAAATCTACTTCCACCCATACGGTTTTCCTGTATCAGCTCTGGAGCCAATTACCACTTCTGTTATAGTTTGGATATGAAGGGTTCAAGTGTTGGTCCTTAGTGAGGTAATATTGGGAGGTGTCATTATGGACCTTTAACTGGGGGCAGTGGGACAAGGATGACATGACAATGATGACGACCCTTGGTGGGAAGAACTCAGATTAATTAGAAGTATGCCCATGGAAGGGATTCTACTCTCTCTCTGGCTTCTTATTTTGAGATGTGATCTCTTCTTCCCAAGTGTGCCCCTGTCCTTAGGTTCTTACCAGTACTGAGCTGATGCCAGCAGCGTGCCTTTGAGCCTCCATAACTGTGAGCCAAATAAACCTTTTTTTTTCTAAAGTTAGCCTGCCTCAGGTATCTCATTATAGTAATGAAAACAGACAATTATAGACTCTAAAGGCCTGTTTTGGTCTTTATCTTTGACTAGGTGGTCACATGGAAGGTTTTTAAGTGGACAGCAAATTCTGTTTGGAGCTCATTAAACAGAAAACTGCTGATATAAAACACTTGGGCCTGCTGGTTTGGTTGGGCCTTCATGTGACAGTCTGAGATAGAAAAATTTCTTCCAAGATGAATGAGGACAGAGCTTGAGAGGACAGGCTGGCATAGTGTGGTTGAAAGAATAATTGCACAGAAAATGACCTATGGGAAAAAAGGCAGCCACAAAGTAAAACCATCTTATTTTGTTAATATTAACTTCTGTTCTTCGGTGTCTACCATTTGTGGCTTTATCTATTTTCTAATTTTATTCTCTTTTCATCTCACAATAGTTCTCGCTGTCATTTTTATTTCATTATACTATTGCTTCCTTTTTTTTTTTTTAAAACCAAAAAGTATGGTGTTAATAAAAGACTGTGTTTGAACTGAAACCTATACAAACACAAGAAAATGGGGGTCCAAACTAAGGGGTTACTGTGGGAAAAGGGGAAGGGGGTAAAAAGTGATCAAAGCTCACTTTTGGAGAGTAGGGAATGGTACGTTCTCTAATGTAGACAGATTTGGGGAGAAAGCTCTAGAATTGAGCATGGTTACAGACTTTAGGGACAAAGTACATTTACTTTGCAGGTTTCCTTTTTCTCTTCTCCTTGTTTTCCCCTTTAGGAATTCCCTCTACCCCATGTTAAGGGGGCTGTTGTGATGTTAGTACAGGCCCAAAAGTACAGAGGACCATCACAACCTGCAGTGGAAGAGTTTCCTTCAAAGACTCTTCTGAAAAACAACAGAAAAATGAACACTTTCCAGCTCATTTTGTGAGGTCAGTGTTATCCTGATACCAAATCCAGGTGAAGACATAACAAACAAACAAGCTCAATATCCCTTTTGATTACAAATGTAAAATTCTCAACAAAATTCTAGCAAATTGAATCTAGCAACATATAAAAAGGCTTATACACAATTACCAAGTGAAGTTTATCCCAGAAATGCAAGATTACCATGAAAATCAGTCAATGTAATATAGTGTATGGATGGTATATTAAATTATTAATTAACAAAAGACAAAGAACACATGATCACCTTAATAGACTTAGAAAGTTACGTGGCAAAATCCAACACCCCTTCATGAAAAAAATACTAGATGAACTAGAAATAGAAGGAATCTTCCTCAGTCTGATAAAGGACATGTATGACAACTCAAAGCTACTATACTTTATCGAGGAAGACTAAATCATTACCCTCTAAGACATCTGATCTTTTCATCTTCCAGACAACATCATACTGAAGTTCTAGTCAGGCAATTAAGCAAGAAATAAAAAAAACATCTAGACTAGAAATTAAACTATCTCTATTTGCAAATGATATTATACCTTATAAATAAAATCCTAAGAAATCTACTAATAATTAGAACTATTGAGTTCAGCAAGGTTGTAGGATATCAGATTAATAAACCCAAATCACTTGTATTTCTAAACACTAGCAACAAACAGGAAATCAAAGGAAAAATAAAAGGAATTAAACACTAACAAAGAAGTACAAGACATACAACCAAAATTTTACTGACAGAAATTAAAGAGGAACTACGTAAGTGGAAAGACATCACAGGCTCAAAGTGTGGAAGACTTAATATTGAAATGGCAATACTCTCCAGAGTAACCTACAGATGACACCTATCAAAATCACAACTTGCTTTCTGGCAGAAACTGACAAACTGATCATAAAATTCGTATGGAAATGCAAGGGGCCCAGAAGAGCTAAACCAATCTTGGGAAAAAAAAGCAAAGTTGGAAAAACTATACTTCCTGATTTCACAAGTTAGTAATGAAGACCTTGTGGTACTGGCATGAAGATATACATACATATCAGTGGAGCAGAACTGGGAGTTCAGGAAAAAACCCCTCATATTTATAGTAACTTGAGATTGTGCTGATGGTTGCACAACCTTGTAAATATACTAACACTAGCGAATTAAACACTAGTATAATGAATGCTATGATATATGCAGGACATTTCAGTAAAGATGCTACATTTTTTTTCTTTAAATCTAGAGAGGCAGAATGGTATTTGTTTTAAATTATCAAGGGTTCCAGTTTTGGAAAGTGTTCCGATTAAGAGCAGTAAGACTTGGAAAGATGGAAAGGTATTTAAATGAAGCTGATTTACACAGTTGTTAGCAGCAAAGAGAAAGGTAAGAAATGAAGAAAAGTTGAGCTCAATATTTGCATAATGTGACACTCAGCAATTAAAGCAGAAGAGAAAATATGTAAGGTATGACAAAGTTAAACAATTGATATTTACATAAATTTATATAAAATTTCCAAATGTGATTTTTCTAAGTAGTCACCTTTGGAGCCTAAGCAAAAGCCTGTATTTCAGCTGCTTAGAATTCTTATACTTTTCAGTTTTCTTTAGAGTTAAGAGATCAAGAAAAATCATTCACTTCATTTGATCCAAGGCTATTACTCCGTAGAGTAATAGACTATTATTCTAAAGCTTGGCCATCCATTTATTGACTTTGCTCTGAAGGTTCATTTAGGGGGCATTTCAAAAACAAACTCACACTCAAGGGATAATTACTAGATACAACTGAGAATATCTGAAAGAATGCTCTAAAAGCTGGTCTAAAAGGGTTGATATAATTAATCTTTTTCTCTCTATAGAATATGGCTGAAATGTGCTTTTAAACTAAAAATGTTGTGAGCTTTCAAGATTTAGCAGCCTCATGCTGGAGTCACAACTGCACAGGAAAGCAAGTATAACTTCTCTCCATCTCCACCATTGCTACCACCTTTATCTGAGTCCCCTCAACCTTCATCTGAATTACTAACTGGTCTCCTTGCTTCACTCTTGTCCCCCTGTAGTCCATTCCCATAAAGCAGCTAGAACATTGTCACTCCCCTTTCAGACTCTCTAAACTTGCACCCAGTTTGACCCTTGTTGGCCTCCCCCTTGCTCCCACTGGCCACAGTAGCTGTCAGACTCATGGAAGAGGCCAACCTCATTTCTGCCTCAGCCTCTGAACTAGCTATTTCTGGTTCCTGGAATTCTCTTCTTGCAATTACATGGCTGGCTTCTTCACATTTAGATCTCACCATAAATGTCATTCTTCCGAGAGGACTTCTCAGACTACTCCATGTCTATCACATCCCAATGTTTTAGTTCTCTACCCAACACTTCTTTTGATGACTGTCACTTGTCACCCCCTGACTAGACAGTGTATCTCCAGGGGGTCAGCAATACCATCAGGCCTAGTCAACACTATTTCCCCAGTGCCTAGGACATGTGTGACTCTCCAGTATGAATTAATTCTAGATTTTATTGACATCATTAAAACCTGAGCATTTCCAAGTATACTGAAGATGTCTAAAGATTCCTAACTTTATCTATATACAAAACACATTCCTACCCTGAACTCAATCTGAAAGAAGAAAATGCTCTTTCCTATAATTCTTACATAGAAAGTTCAAAAGCGCTTTAATAAGAACTTTATACTTACTCTGGAAGAAGTTTATATTTCTCCAAATCAATTTCTGGGAAAAATGTGTCACTTTCAAATTCCTGCATGATCCTTGTCACAAACAGTTTAATATGGCCTGGTTGAATCATGGCTTCCTTTGAAACAAAACAAAAAAGGCATCACTTTCCTTAATCTATATCATAAGACACAGACACTCTAAGATTTTTGTTTGTTTTAGTTACGAAAGAAATGCCTTATACTAGGCCTTAAAGACTTGTTTATTACTGCCAAAGTATACTACATAAATACCCTATTCTTAAATCTGGGATCCTCTAAAATGTGCCTTAGTTACCTTAAGAATGGAACTAATCATAATTGATAATTATTATATTCTGGTCTCTAGTTTGCTTATGAGAAATACTTTTTAATTTAAGAATTCATTTGGTTGTTTTCCTTTGGCTGCTCTTGTAAGAGTTAATCTGGGGCTGGAGTTGTGGCTCAGTGGTAGAGCGCTTGCCTAGCATGTGTGAGGCACTGGGTTTGATTTTCAGCACCACATGAAAATAAATAAAGATCCATCAACAACTAATAAAATATTGAAAAAAAAAAGAGTTAATCTGAATGTGTAAGGCCCAGGGCCACCAAAAATAAATAAATAAATAAATAAAGGACATTAATCCAAAGTTATCAAGTTACTTTCCAAAGAAAAACTTACATATGTATATTCATACAAGATAGTACAGTTTCATGTGATCTTGACTACTGAACACCAAGGGCCTACTCAGTATACTCATGTAAAATTTAATATTGCTTTCTTTCCTCAATACAGTAATTTAACATGTCTCTTGTTGCTAACAACTATAGCCTTTTTTGTTAGATGATTTTTCTAACTACTATCTACACTTCTATTGACAGTTTCTACGGAAAGGATTGCTCTCAAATATCTTAAAAATTTTAATAAACAGTATGAATCCTTTACAGACCCAACAAAGCAATAATGCTTTTTGTGTATTTTGCTTTGCAGTAATAACTCGATTCTCAAACATGCATAGATTAAAAGAAAAAATATTTTTATATGCATACATACATATGTAAAATTCCAGGTGTTTGTTATTCTTAAAGTTCCAAATAAGGGAACTGAACAAATTTTATTTTGAAAACTTACATTTATGTTAAACCATTGTTATCTTTGCTACAACCAAATAAATATTCTTTTTTTTGTGTGTGTGTGGTGCTAGGGATTGAATCCAGGGCCTCATGCTTGCTAGGTAGGCATTCTACCACTGAGCTACATTCCCAGCCCCTAGTAATTCTTACTATACAACCCCCCCCAAAACAAACAAACAAACAAACAACCCAGAAAAACTGAGTGGGACACTGAACAAATTTTATTTTGAAAACTTATATTTGTATTAAACCATTGTTATCTTTGCTACAACCAAATAAATATTCTTTTTTTGTGTGGTGCTAGGGATTGAACCCAGGGCCTCATGCATGCTAGGTAGGTATTCTACCACTGAGCTACATTCCTAGCCCCTAGTAATTCTTACTGTACAAAAAACAAAAAAACAAAACAAACAAAACCCAGAACAACTGAGCGGGACTAACCAATCACAGCAGCATTTTAAGTTCTATATCAAAGTTGATGGTGTGAGGCAAACTTTCTGTGAATAGTCAGGCAGTAAACACTTTAGGGTTTGAGGGTCATACGGTTTCTTACTTTTATAGGCAGAAGCAGCCACGGACGACACTAAACAAACAAGTGGGACTGTGTTCCAATGAAACTTTATTTACGTGGTACTTGGGAAGATCAGCCTGAATGACTGATGAGCAGCTGTGATGAGAGGCACGTGAATAACGCAAATCACCTGAAGGCTTTATTTCCTTATACAAAAGTCATTTTATATACATGCTTTTAAGTACTTAGTGCTTATTAAAAAGTACATTTTCAAGTGATATGATTTGAGTCACTCAAAATGTGATAAATACTAAAATAATGAACTTGTTTTCTAGAAGAAATTCATACGTGGATGGAAAGATTAAAGAAGAAAAATGTTCATTTCCCTTTACTACAATGGGGAAAAAAATAAAGAGATTGTGGAATCAGGAACATAAGAAACTGAGAGTTTTTATAATCCCTTCTAAGATCCTGGAATACCTCTTCTTTCTCAAATAATTTCAGTGTCTATTTTACCCTAAACCCCAAAAGGTAGGGACTGATTTTTCTTTTTCCTCTAAATGTTACCCTTTCAATAGTGTTTTTTTTTTTTTTTTGTGGGGGTGGAGTGTACCAGGGATTGAACTCAGGGGCACTCATCAACATTCTCAGTCCTTTTTATTTAGAGATTTAGAGACAGGGTCTCACTGAGGTGCTTAGTGCCTTGCTGTTGCTGAGGCTGGCTTTGAACTTAATATCCTCTTGCCTCAGCACTGTACCCAGGTCAAGAGCCAAAGAATTCTATTTAGTATCCTCAATTTTTTTTTTTAAAAGCTGGAAGTCAATTTGTATCAGGAAAAAGAATTCTTCTTTAACACACTATTTACCCTTTTGATCTGAAATCATGAAACCCTTCTCTTATGTCCTTACATTAAATGAAAATTATTGAGGAAAAGCTTTCTGCTTTTAACAAATTCATATACATCTAGTTAGTGTATATCAACTAGACCGCTACTCTTTTCTCAGTGAGATTTTCATCCTGTAAGAGAAGGTATATAACAGCTTATTTAGGGCATGGGGATGGGGGTGGAGGTAGAAACTAGTACAGTGCAAATGCAAATCTTGGGGAGACATTTAGAATGGTTCTTAAGCCATAAATATTAACTAGTATTTTGAATTGAAAATAAAGTGGTATATGGGGAGATGTTGTTTAAGGGACACAAAATTTCAGTTAGATAGGAAGAATAAGCTCCAAAGGTCTATCATGCAATGTGATGACTATAGTTAGTAACAACCTTATATTGTACTCTTGAAAATGGCTCAAGAATGATTTTAAGTGTTCTCACCATAAAAAGTGAGGTAATATCTATCTATCTATCTATCTATCTATCTATCTATCTATCTATATCTATATATGCTAATTGGCTTGATTTAGCCATTCCACAAAGTATACATATTTCAAAACATGTTGTATACAATAAGTAAATACAACTATTAGTCAATAAAAAGAAAATAGACTCGTATAGACCCAACATTTTACTTTTACATTTTTATTTAGCTTACGTTGCAGGGATAAAATCAAATAATTCAGAATGACAAAATATCTAACTTTTTTAGAGATAATGTACTGTTTCTTATGTTTATGGCTTAATGTTTCCTCCCAACCTCCCTTTAAATGTCAAGAGAACTAAAAGAAAGTAGGAAACATTTCTTTTTATTTGTAGATAACTCTACTTACCTTATAAACAGAACTGCCTCCTACTATCCAAATCATGTCTATTTTACTTGCTAATTCTGGCTGCTCAGTAAGTTTTAAGGCATCGGTCAGACTTTTGGCAAGAAAATGAGCTCCTTGTGGAAGTTCTCTAAAAGTAAAAGAATTACATACAATTTTTGTAAAACCCATCCATATTAATCAAATTATATGAATAGGAAGCAGTGATTATAAAACCAAAATCATCATAAATATGAATCCTTTTAAAAAAAAGTATGGCCTACAATCAATACTTACCTACATTTGTACATCTAGGGTCCATATAAGTCAATCAAAATCACATGTGATATAAAGTCACAACAGTAGTCTCTAAAGTAGTGGCATAAAGAATTGTGAGGGGACATGAGACAACTTTCTGGGGGGTTATCTTTTCTGCATCTTTGATAGGGGCTGGGTTACATAGGTATACACCTTTATCAAAACTTTAATAAATGTACATTTAAGACTTGTGCACCTCATTGTAATATTTACCTTAAAAGAAAAAAAAACTGTAGAGAAATACTGAATTCTAGTTAATTATATGTACGAAGAATAGAAGGCTGCAATTAATTTTGACATGCAAATATGAACAAGACAAACTGAACAGATGGATATGTGATAAAGTTAACACAAAAAATGTTATTCGTAGAATCTAAGTGGTGGTATATAGCTATTTAAAGTTCTTTGTGTATGTTTGAAAATTTTCATAATAAAATGTTGGAAAGAGAATGTTTGAATGTAGAAAAGTTTGCAGCAATATTCAAACTGCTAATACCTTTGGGGAGTGGAAAAAAAAAAAAAACAACTTTACTGTTCCAAACAAACAGAAATGGGTGAACTATTTGAAAATCAGCTTTTTGCTACTTATATAATTAAAAACCCAAAAGGGAAAAAGTTCAATAATTTTACTGTTTATGTGAACTAACAATCTCTCTCAACCTCCAAACCAATTATTGTTTTGGCAGGGAGGAGGGGGTCTAATTCCCTTTATAAATGAGGAAACATGCAGAACTAGGCTTTCAAAGTAATTAGATGCAGAACAAAAATTACAATTCAATGTCAAGGTCTTAGGCTGGTGCTTTAAAAAGATTACATAACTGCCTTTGAACTAGAGGTTGTAACAATGATTAATCAAGAACTAATGGGGATTATTCATTCTCTTGGTTGCATCCTCCCTCTCCTCCTGAAATTTATTTTGCTTATTTCACTTTGTCATCTGGTAAAGGAGTTAGGATAGAGCAAAGAATATACTTTGACTCAGGCTAGAAAAAGAAATGGAGACCAGGGTGAAGTTAAATGAACTATCTCTTAAGGAATCAGGGCAGTCATAAGGGCTGAGTTGGACTAGGCTGTTCAGGGAGAAAACTTAGAAGACAAAAATTTGGAACTGGAGAAGATAGTCTAGTTAATAAAGTACAGGACGACTGAAATAGTCATGGTGGTTTTAGGAAGTAAAGATGCTGAAGTAAGGATGGATAATAAAGATGGAGTAGAATGGAAAATGATGATACAGTAACTGACATGAGGAAAAACTGAAAGAAGCACTCTTTTTTTATTTGTGGTACTAGAGACTGAACTCAGGGACACTTCACCATTGAGCTACCTTCCTGAAACTTCCTAAAATTCTTTATTTTGAGACAGGGTCTCACTAAGTAGCACAGGTTGGCCTTGAATTTGTGATCCTCCTGCTTAGTCTCTTGAGTCACTGGGATTACAGGTGTGTGCCACTGTGCTCAGACAGGAAGCAGTATCCTTAAAGTGGGTGTATAATAGCAATATGACTTCCAAGGTGTTATAAATGGTTGGTGTGGACCTCAAAGAAAGGGGTGATAATTTTGTGAAGATTTCATTGCCCTTTGTAGTGAGTCTGCAAAAGCAAAAACCTGATTAAGGATTGGTTTCAGATTTAAGTTTTAGCAAAGGCTGGAGGAAATGCTTCTGCAAAATGTTGCTAAAACATTAGTTTAGAAATGTTTCACAGGAAACACTAGACCCCTAGATGGCTAAAAAAGAATAGGCAAAAAGTCCAGCTTATGTTTTGAGTCTGTTAGTCCCTTTGGAGCACACATTGTAGAAAAGAACAGTGAATAACACATAGTAAACATTTTATATCATGCCTTGTTTCAGTGCTAATTTCCTGTCTATATCTTTCTTCAAACCAATCCAGATTGGATTTTCCAAGAAGGGAGAGCTGGTATGTAACAGTACATGTATTCTGTGTCAAGACCCGCGTGGGTATTCTTGGTATCTTGTTTCTGACCAAGAGTTTTGTGATGATGAAATAATATAATGCACACAGTAGGCATTCCACTTAATATAAATACTAATCTTATGTAGGTACTATTCCTTTTTACAGGTGAAATTAAAGATGAGGGGTTAAGTAACCAATGATCACACAGCTAGGAATTGGTGGGTGTTGACAGTTGAACTCCAACAGCCTAACATTACAATAGATATTTAATGGGTGACCAGGGGCTTTAAGTGCCTGAGATACCAGGCCTGAGACATTGGGATGCTGGGGCTTAGATTAGGCAACCCCCCTACCCCATGTCCTCTGGCCTCAAACAGCCTTATCTGATTACTCCAGGCTGCTATAAAGACCTTATCCCTTCCCACTGTGCTTGATGTGAAAGATAAGTGCATGGCAGATCAAATTCTGGCCTGATATCTTTGGGGACTGCTGGGATACTACTTAATCACAAAAGCCTCAGGCTAGAATGGTGTCTTATGCAAAACTGAGAAATAATGTTCAACTTGAGACCATTTATACTCAGCCTTTAAAAATTTGATTTCCAACAATTACCAACTGTTTCAAGTATGATCTATCCTCATGTGACCACTACAGACATTTATAGAAATTTATTTTCTGTAAATAATTAAGTGGGGGAAAAAAACAGGTTGCAAACTTTTCCCAAGTGGGATTATTCTCTTTCTATAAGTAACTTGTGGAGCATTCCTTTTGAAGAGTTCTGAATCCCTACTATGCTATATCTATGTTAGATACTGGGACAAGAGATTTCGAAAACAAAACAGTAGTCATGGCACCCAAAAGATCATGATGGTAGTCAAAAGAATATCTCAGCAGTGGCCATAACATATGAAAAAGACACACAATGAAGATGCACAGAGGATACATCAGGAGTCCAGAAACAGTGCATCATCTGGGTTGGGGTGAAGAGGGAACAATGACTCTTTAGCTGGGTGTCAAAGAAGATAAAGACGTGAAAAGCACAGAGATGACAGACTACCCACAGATACTATTGATAGTTACAGTGCAGTTATTTAACACAAGAAAGCTGAGACAAAGTTGAGGGTAGAAGAATGTAATCTGTGGTGAGGACTAAAATGCCAATGGATGGGGCAATAGTACAAGGTCCTGAGGTCAGAGAAAAATAGAATTTAGAAAAAAGTGGGAGTTGAGGAAAATAGGAATTTACATAGGATGAGATTTTTGTCTCACAATCAAGGAAAAAAAGAACAAAGTGTTATATTAAAATGAAAATGAGGGGATGGGGTTGTGGCTCAGTGGTAGAGTGCTTGCCTGGCACATGTGAGGCACTGGGTTTGATCCTCAGCACCAAAGAAAGAAAGAAAAAAAAAATTATTAAAAAAAAAAAAAAAAAAGAAGAAAAGAAAATGAGATCATGAATGTGTTCATTGTGATTTTGTTCATGTTAATATTTTCTAGAAGCTATAAATTTACAAGGTGTGGGGGTAGGAACTGACATGTAAGATATCTTGTGAGCAGAAACTTTATATATAAAATTTCAGTGAACCTTCAAAAACTGTCATTATTAATCCACTTAGTATGTAAAGAAGTTTACGTTTAGCAAACTTTTAGGTTTAACCTGCTGAAGGCCCCAAAGTTACTAGGTACCAGAGTAGATTTAAGAAGCAAGGTCTGTTAGTGTTTGCTATGCTAAGTTTATGAGTTGGAGAGATAGGCTTTAAGAAGCAGAGAGTGTTTTAATCACTAGAAAAGATATGAGAGTGAGATGAAAAATATATATACATGGCATAAAATATAGATAACTTTCATGGATTGAAGATGATTTACAATATCATAAATCATGGAAGATATTTTGGATTTTTTAGAGATGGTGTCAAGATGCATTGTAGTAAAAACTCTTTACTTAATTTTTGGTACCAAACATTTTAAAAACCTGCTTTGTGTGACATAAATCACATACCACACAATTCATCCTTTTAAAGTGTAAAAGTTGGTGATTTTCAGTATATTTAGAGTTGTGCAACTACCACTACCTCACAACAAAAAGAGACCTATTAGTAGTCACCCTCTCCATCCTTGGTTTTCTTAAAAAGTCACAATTTGTCCAGAAAGCTTTGGAAAAACACTTTCTCCCATCCCTTATTAACTAAATAGTTACCACAAATAAGTATGTTTGGCACTGAATTGAGGTTACTTAGAGGATTCAATTTCTTTCTGTACTGGGGTGAAGGTTAAAAAAAAAAACTAAGTACCTTTAAAAACTTGCACAAAAAATAGTGGTTTCTGATTGTTAAACTCTGCCCTTTGTGCAGGACCCAGCAGGTTCTCAGTATATGTGTGGAACTGGCTAACAAGTAGGGAGACAGGAGAATGAACAACAACAACAAAAAACCCTAGTAAAATATTTTACTAACTGGCATTACTGTTTCTCTGATATGCTTGATAATAAAGACTTCAAATTTTCTCAGCCCTAAAAAAAAAGTGAAATACACCAAAAAATGTTATATATACATACGTAAGAAGCAGCTAAATCCAATTACATACACCGCAGGGGGAATCATAAAAAAAAAAATTAGACTCATCATTTAAGGAGAAATCCTGGCTCAACTGAACATCCTCCCCAATGAGATTTCTTTATGTTTATTTTAGTTGAAAATAGTCATAAATAAACTTGAATAGTATTCATGTTATTAAAAAGTCTCTGGGAATGGCAATATACTCTGTGAAATTGGTTTCTATGAAGAAAAGAGATCTTCAGAATATCCTAGCAAACAGGAGAAGGAGTAGCATAAAGACCAAGGCAGATGGCAGGGCACACATCAATGTATTTCCCATCACCCCAAGGCAATCAATGCAAACACTCTGGTAAATCTAGTTTTTTACCTATGACATTCTAGGACAGATGTGGCAGAAAATCTCTATGAACCTGAATCTGTTAGCCTATAATTGTACAATTTTTTTCTTTCCCAGGGTATATCAACTTGGGTAGGCCATAGTTACTGGTTATTAAAAGACTACTCCAAGTGGTGCCGATGAGGTATTTTGTAGATGTGATAACATCTGTAATTAGTTGACTTTAATCTGGGTAGGCCTGATTTATCAATTCAAAGGCCTTAAGAACAGAGCTGAAGTTTCCTAGAAGAAATTTTACCTTAGCCCTGGCTAGAGAATTTCAGTCCAATGGCCTGCTCCAAAGAGTTTTGATCTCACATACAACTGATATTCCAATAAGACTGATATGAAGAATGCTCAACATGCTGATCCCAAACTTTCTCTTAAGTTTAATTTGCATTACCCCTCCACCAAAGCAAAACCATGAGGTATGGAAAATTATTTTAGTAGGTTAGGACCAATGCCACTATCGACAAAAAGAAACAAAATAGAAATCAGGATATACTACATGTGGTGTAAATGACATGGAAGCCACCAGAGATGACTTCATGGGTCGTCTTATCAATAATTCCACACTCTGCTTTTTGCCTTGGGCATTTCTGGCATCAGGAACTACCTACTCCATTGTTAGCAGAAACCAACTAGACATGCTCCCTTCTCTAGACAATCCCTAGAGCCATTTTCAATGCTTTAAAATATTTTACCTTCAGACACGGGGTAATGAACACAAGTGCAGTGATATTTGGGTAACCCAGTTAACTAGGAATAGCAGGGCATAAGATTATAACTGCTTTTCGTCCATCCTAAAATTCACATCTTATTATGTTTGTGTAAAGTCAACTGAAGAGATAGGATAATTGCTTAATTTTGGCAAATCCCAAAACTTGGATATTGTGATTTTATGTGAAACTAGGAAAAAGTTATTGATTACATTGTATAACTGATATTTAAGTTTATTGAAGGTTCAAGGGAACTTGCAAATCTATTACTATAGTGAGATTTAATGTTTAATATAACATTTCAAGGTGTTAAAATCCATTAGTCACTTAAGGAGAATAAGTTGCCATGTGGTGTAACAACTTATTCATTTTCTGTAATCACAAAGGTGATATTAGGTAGCTTCACTAATAGTTACTTTTATACTATTTCATCTTGTCATATACTGATATGCACTTTAATAAATGGAACATGACTTTCCTGTGGTGACTTTGTTATAGTACTTACTTGAGTTCTCTACTGAGAACTATATTAATTCTGTCCTTTAAAGGTCGATTCTTTTCAGGAATAGAGAACCAGGTCTTCCTACCCATAATCACCAGATTCTGTTTACCTATAAAATCACATGGAAAGGATAAGTATATTTTGGGACTGTACATATATTTTTAATCATATACATGTAGATATTTGTCATAGTGACATCTAGTGGATTTGCTTAAAAAATATTAAAACAGCTTTACCAAAATTTACATTTCTCTCTCCTAACCTAAATATAGTAATTATTTTCCCCTCGGACTTTACCCAATTTGTATCCAATATTTAATTATAATCAATTGCAACTATGTATAATGTAGTAAAGAGGAAAGATTTTGGGTTGAAGTGTTCTAATCCAATGCATTCTATCATTAACCAGGCATCAATCGGAGTACTCCTCTGTCTTACTTTCCTTGGCTATGAAATAGGGATAAGAATAGTGCCTACCTCTACAATTGTAGGGGGGATTAGACTTAGAACAATATTCAGCATATAAGTAGTTATCATTGTTGGATATAATCACACTATTCATATTTGTGTACTTTGTAGATTTCCATCATCGTATTTAAAAAAACAGTTCCTTAATAGTTTCCTCAATTTACCTTTCTACGTTAAAACAGGTTAAGTTGAACTCTTGCCTTTTCAGCATTATACTTCCACAGATAATGCTTTTGTAAAAACCTGATACATATAGATTCCATTTTTGACTTCTTAGGAGGAAAAAAAAAACTTGAGTCAAGACATTTGGATCAAAGGAACATTAATATTATCAGATCATACTTAAGGATTCTTGAGAGGGATTTGTGTCCCTGGAGCTTTCCGCTCTTGCCATCTTGTGTCTACCAGCGACATAACTGCCAAATCCAAGGGCCTTATATCTTTTATTAATGTTATGCAGCTTCTGCTCCCTCTGACTTTCCTTATTTATTCTGCCATTCCTCTTCCTATATCCATAAATACATGTTTCTTAGGTTTTAAGCAGGGTATTCCTCCATTTTCATATTTTTTTCTTTGTTTATCCTCTTTTCTCCCATAGCTCAACTCACCTAGCTCTCTCTGTCTGAAATTGTCCTGGATATCCTTACAGACAACTCAAAATCATCCTCATTACAACTGCACACCATTCTCCACTCCTTAATTCTTCTAGTCACTGAGACTCTCCCACACTGAAATGCTGAGAGTTCATCATTGATTCCTTCATGCATCATAATTACATTCCAAATAACCCACGTGGAGGATCCTGTAGCCACTCTCTTCTTCTTTGCCCCAGTTCAGGTTTACCATCTCTCCCAGCAGCTCTTCCAAAGACCTCCTTTGGCCTCCATTCTGAGTGCTAACCTCCAATGAGAAGACCTCTGTTCAGCTGCCAATTTTGCAATACCTGAACTGTACATGTGCCCAGTATAAAACTGTGAATTTTTAAAAAAGGGACGCTTAATGAACCTTGGGAACTTCAGACAGATTTTTAGTAAGATTAAAGATCCCAGATTAATGTGAAACTTTCCATTTAAAACAACATTTGCATTGGAAAACTTCAAGAAAAATCCTTGACGAATCCCAATCATTTAAAAATGCCCTCATTACCTTCTACTGAAGGGGTTGTCGTCATTCTTTGGAAATACTTGAATTCATTCCTGCAAGTTAGAGAAACACATCGTTACTCAACACATTATCTGGTTGGCTCAGGCTCTAATGCGCATGACAAACATTGTACTTCGCGGAGGGTGGTGTTCTCCAGGCCAGGGACTTTGCCCTAGGCCAGAGCACCACAGGGCAGAGGCCTTGGCAGGGAAGCAGGATCCGGTGGGAAATCAACAATTTGGCTTTGTGCTGTAGCCGCAGAGGCCACCCAGGGTCTACATGCCCTTGTCCATTGGAACTGGCTCAAGTTGGCCAGTCGGCCCTGTGCGTCCCCGCCCAGGTGACCAGATTAAAGCCAGTGAGCGCAGCCTCTATACCCTCACCTCCAGCCCGGCTGATACCTGAGCGGGGGCCAGGGCAGGTCCCCGTTCTTGCCGATGCCCATGTTCTGGGACACGGCGACAATGCAGTTTAGCGGACGAACCATGACAGCAGCAGTGATCCCCCAGCTCCCCTGCTACACCCGGATTCCGCTCGGATTTTGGCGCGAAATGATAGCCACTCCGCCCCCTCTGTCTCATTTGAGGAGGCAAGGCCCCGCCTCCGCCCCGCCTCACGGCAAGGTCGCAGCGTGCTCGCTCCCGCAGACTCCCGGGAACGGCGGCGGGCTCGCGCTACCGGCTGGGCCCTGTAGGCTGGCCACCACTGCCCGTCCTGCAATGTCTCGGCGGAAACCTGTATCGGGCAGTCTTTCTGCAGCCGGGCCAGCCCATGGGAGACAAGCAGTTTTGAGCCGATTCTTTCACTCCACGGGAAGCCTCAAATCCACTTCGTCTCCCACCGAAGCCGCCGCGAAGGCAAACCACGGCTCCGCAGCGCCCTCAGCGTCCACCGCCCAGCCTCATTTGCCGCCGCTGGTGGTGGGTTCGGTCCAGGGCGGGGCGGGGCCATCGGGTGGGGCGGAGCTTGTGAGAGGAATAGGAGGAGGCGACGACCATGCGCGAGAATCCCCGAGATGATGGAGCCGGAAGAGAACGGAAGAGGCGGGGCCGGGGAAGCAGAGGCTGGGAAAGCCCAGCTGGGTCCAAGTCCTGGTGTGGCTGAGAGATTGCATTACCTCTCTCTCTCTCTCTCTTTTTTTTTTTTTTGGCATCACCTGTTTTGAGGGAATAGATTTGAGGCCAAGGTCCCGCTGGTTGTTAAGAGGAGACCTGAAGGGAATTTCCATTCTGACGAATGGAGAGTGCCAGTTGGTCTGGGATACTTGTATCTTTTAATCCTCCCTCTTTTCTTTCCTGGACTGATGTTTGAAAAGGGGCTTCTCTCTACACGCTTGGTTGGGTGACTTTAAGAAAGCTGCTCATATGTAGTTCTTAGGACTGAACAGCATTGCTGAATATTTCAAATCACTGTGGGCTGAAGCTGAGTAGTGGTCACGACCTGTAGTTCACGTCTTAATGTGTGACGTTCAATTTGGATGGATAAAGTGTCTATAAATGCCAATGGTTAATCATTGGATACTTTGTTGCTTGCCAATCTTTTTTAAAATATTATTTTTTAGTTATAGGTGGACACAATATCTTTATTTTATATTTTTGTGGTGCTGAGGATCGAACCCAGTGCCGCACGCGTTAGGCGAGCGCTCTCTGAGCCACAACCCCAGTCCCTGTTGCTTGCCAATCTTAAGAGAAATAAACTAAGATTTTTTGTTTTGTCCTTCCTTCCTTCCTCCCTCCCTCCCTTCCTCCCCTCCCCCTCCCCTTCCCCTCCCCCTCCCCCCCCCCCCTCCCCTCCCCCCTCCCCCTTCCCCCCCTCCCCTCCCCCTCCCCTCCCCCCTCCCCCTCCTCCTCCTCTCCTCCCCCCTCCCCCCCCCCCTCCCCCTCCCCCTCCCCCTCCCCCTCCTCCTCCCCCCTCCCCCTCCCCTCCCCCTCCTCCTCCCCCCCCTCCTCCTCCCCCCTCCTCCTCCTCTCCTCCCCCCTCCTCCTCCTCTGTGCTTTCCCAAGAGGGAGTCTTCCCTAGAGTACCCTGTGTACTTCCCAAACTAAGGATGTGTGGAAGGGGATTACAGACTGAATTTTAGTCTAGTTACATTTTAATGGAGTTACAACTAAGCTGCTTTAAAAAGTTCTTCTCTTCATTTACATTTCTTTCCTATAGTAATTGCTCCTCTTTTTTTTCCTTTTTTTTTTTTTTAAAGGACGACCTAATTTTCAGGAATTCAGCAAAATTTTATTTTTCGTCTACCATTTAGAGACTATTTGGTGAAGGACTTAAATTTTTGTCAGATTTCCTGCCAATAGATAGTTCATAGTCTTGTGGCAACTTCAATGGTGAACATATTGTATTTAAACAGGACATAGTTAAATAATGATTAGTATTTAAAAAGTGATATTGTTTATTTAATCTTTGGCTCCTAATTTTGGCTTTGATAAGTACTATTTTATTTCTTAGGGGTATTTTATTTAACATGTAAGTGGGGTGAATCAGGTTTTATAATTTGAGATAAGTAAAGGCTGATTGAGTAAAGGAAGGTATTATATGGCTTAGTTTCATTTATTCTAGCAGGACTAGAGGTTCTGAGGCTCATGACCTGCCAGTTCCCACCCTGTCTTTGATGGGGGTAAAAACAGTTAACTCAGGCCTTTCCAGAGCTAACAGAAATAATTCTGTGAGGAATGGATTGCAGGGAAGTTGGTGTCATTCAGAAATAATGTTTAAATTACTTCACATACATCAAGCTTTCACAGAATAGATAACACCTCATTTTGTGACCTTTGTATGTAGGCTACAGAAGTTAACAAAGGAAAAAAAAGATCACTGGAGAAAGATGGGCCTGTTAAAAAGAAAGCAAAGAAAGTCCAAGAAAAGGAAGGAAGAAGTGACTTGGTAATGCCTGGTAACCCTGGTGAGTCTGGGCGATGATTCTTCTCAGCAGTCATGGCTCTGATATTCTTGGGTTTTTCTGGAGGGCAGAGAAATCTCTTGGAGAGTTGAACATTTGTTCTTTTTGGACAATGATCACTATTGTGCTTGAGTTTGTGGTGGTATGTATAGGAGGTGAGGGGGACTGTGGAGGAGCTGGAGTTCTGCAATTTGGCTATAGTTCTCCCAACTTTCTCTTTTTTTCCACTCTAACCATTTTGTCATGTTTTTAAAAATGAGATATTCTTGTTATAAAAATTCCAAACAGTACAGAAATTTGGATGGTAGACAGTGAAAGACCTTCTCTTTCAATGAGGCCTATTGCTCATTGTTTGGGTACTGTGTGTTGTTCCAAATTTTTCTATATTTACACACACATATGTGTGCACAACACAGACCCCCAAATTAGTTAATTAGTAATAATTATCATAGTTTACATATTATATTATACTACATATACTAATTTACAACTATCTTTTTCCACTTAATAGAACATTTTAAACGATATTCAATATCAGGACATATAGATATACTCTCTCCTTTTTTTTGCACAGAGCTGTTCTTTCTATATGTGAAAAAGCACTGAGTGAGAACAGCATTGTTTGGGTCTGGGGTTGTAGCTCAATGGTAGAGCGCTTGCCTAGCACATGTGAGGCACTGGGTTCAATCCTCAGCACCACATATAAATTAAAAAAATAAAGGTATTGTGTCCATCTACAATAAGAAATGTTAATTAAAACAAAACAATCCAGCATTGCTGAGCTTCTGGACTTCCAGAGGTGATTTTGGGTGTAGATGATTGAGTGAGCAGATTTTTTTCTAGTTTTTGGCTCCAGAGAATTTGTGATAAGAAGAGACAGGAAATCCATCTTTATTCATAATTCCCAGAACATAAAACAAACAAACAAACAAGAAGTCCCAATTCATTGAAGATAACTGTCTATACCGCTAGAGATAATAATTGGAATACTTATTTTTCCATATAAATGGTAAAACTTGGATTTAGGGCCAACATGAATAAGAACTAACTACAAAAATGGAGATGTATGACTAATGAGAAAAATATATCTGATAACATCTGATAATACCATAGTCCTTTTCTTTTCTGGAGGGGGCTTGAAGGAGTCATGACTTGACAGATTTGCCACTGGTTAATTTTGCATTTTCTGGGGCTCTTTGCCTTTTTTCTTTTTGTTTCATTGCTCTATATAGACCTGATTGTTCAGTTTTTCAGTAAATTCTATTAGCAGTGAGTGCTCTTTTTTTAAAGTCTGCTTTTACTCTAAAGCTTCTTGTAGCTCATTTATTCTTCCTAAAAACCTTTGTTTTATTTTCTTTTGTAGAGGAAAAGGTAGATGACAGGTGAGGAGAACTGAGGGCTGCCATAGTTAAGTGGCTTAACAGGGGCCACACAGGACAGTTGAGATTGGAAATTGTTGAAATTAAAATGCTTGTCATTTGTTAATTCAGGGTTACCTGGGTTGTGGCTCAGTGGTAGAGCGCTTGCCTAGCATGTGTGAGACACTGGGTTCAATCCCTGGCACCATGTAAAAATAAACAAACAAAGAAAAAAGATATTGTCTCCATCTATAACTAAAAAAATATTTTAAAAAATTGGCATTCAGAAGGTGGGTATCTGTTCTGTCCCAGGGTTGTTGTTGTTGTCTCCTCCTCCTCCTCCTCCTCCTTCTTCTTAATAACAATCATTAAAATACAGTTCTCACACCATATAGTTCACCAATTTAATGACTTTTAAGTTGTTCCCAGATTTGTGCAAACATTATCAAAGTTAATTTTAGGGCACTGGGATGTGGCTCAGTGGTAAAGAGTACTTGTGTAGCATGCATAAGGCCCTGGGTTTGATCCCTAGCACTGGGGCTGAAGGCTGTGGCAGGGAGTCAATTTTAGAACATTTTCATCATCCCAAAAGAAGACCTATACCCAGTCGCAGTTACCTTCTTTTCCTTGTTATATTCTCCAGCCCTAGGCGACCACTAATCTACTTTCTGCTGTAGATTTGTGTATTGAAATAATCTCATATAAATGAAATCATACAATTTGTGGCTTTTTGTATATGTTTTATTTTATTTAGTATCGTATTTTCAAGGTTCATCAGTGTGGTAGCAGTACTTCATTCCTTTCTTTAAAAAAATTCATTTTTTTACGTTGTAAGAAACATAAAATTCACCATCAACCATTTCTAAGTGTGCAGTTTAGTGGTATTAGTACAATTATATTGTTCTATCATCCCTACTATTCATCTCCAGAACTCTTTTTTCCTTTTGCATTTCTAAAACTCTACCCATTGAATAATAACTCCCATTCTCCCATCTCCAGTTCTGGCAGCTACCATTCTGCCACAACCTGCCAAGCATCAACAAAGGATCTTGAGTAGGGGTGACTGGAGATGGAGAAAAACACAAAGAAAAAGAAAACATTTTTAAGCAAAGCTAGGGCCAGGTGGGACACTGCCCTCTAATGGAGGAACAGTGACCTGGAACTAGCTCTGCAAATTTATTATATAGGGTCTCATAATCAGAAAGTTAAACTATAGGGGCATTGTAAATTGTTAAAGTCTTCTGAGTTATCAAGAGGCTTCTTTGTGCATAAAAAGTTA